AGGACTTGTGTCGCTAAAGTTTCGTGGGAACGAAGTTACGGAAAATTAATTAACGACTGGAGGCGTAACAATATATTGATTGAATGTTTCAATACAAGATTATACAGTAGGTTTAGGGATTATATTGGCACAACGTGTGGATTCACGTGTTCGAATAAGTGGTTGCATCGATTTGACAAATTGTATTGACGGACACGTTTCAAACCGGTTTTCACACCGTATTTTAAAATTATGCACACCTAACGCCCAAACCCACAAGTTTGAACACTGGGTTTCGCACTGTATTTTTATATTACGCACTTATAACGCACAAATTCACCTATGTGGACATTAGATGTTACACCAAATTACGATATTATGTACACACGATGCACGAGCCCACCTACTTGAACACCAAGTTTACATAGCATTCGAAGATTATGCATATATAATGAATATAAGCACCACCTGTTTGAACACCAGTTTTACATCGCATTTTAAAATTACACACGTAATGCACGAACCCATCTGTGTGGTAACCAACTAAGACGTTATGAGAAGGTTGCAGTTTAGCTAAGTTTATCATAATATAAATATCATGGATATACAATGGCCGAACTCATTAGTATGTAGAAAATCAGAGTTAATGGTGTGAATTTGGAAACAGCGTAAATCGGCCAGATTCTTTAAGGTTAAAACGCTACTGTAAATCACCCAAGTTCATCATTATGAGTACAAAACACGTAAATAAGTTTCAACTAATCATATGCAAGGCTCATTCGTACGAGTTGAACGCATGCGTGAGCCAACTTTATTAACTAACCCTAAAATTACTGATGGGGTTCATATGATTCCATCAGCTTTTTAAAAACCCCATTTAAACTCTGCACATTATAAGTTGCTTGTACGCCATATTCTTGTTGGTTAAAATGATGGCTAAAAATATGAGTCATGCAAACAAATTATGATAAAAATAACATAAAAAATTTAATTAATCCTACATAGAAAATGAGTGGTTTCAACCAATTGTTTTTTAACTATTATTTACCCTAGGTATTGTAACAGGTAAAAACAAAATCATTCAACATAATGTAATATGTGAACCCAATCAGTAGCGAACATTATAAAAACAATTTGTTAGGTTTAGGGTGAATGCACGTGCAAGCCGACCAGGTTTCATAATATGAAATCAGTAATGTTGAACTTATTTCAGGTCATGGATATGAAAGAAGAAATACGGATGTTAACTATGTTAGGGTGCCGGATTGTGGTTCGAGCTTCGTCACCAATAAAAAAAATCGTTCCACTCTGGTACCGTGGGCGTTTTATAAGTTTGTTTTTGAATTTCGCGCAAAGCTACGCGAGGCTATCTGTGCTAGCCGTCCCTAATTTAGCAGTGTAAGACTATAGGGAAGGCAGCTAGTCATCATCACCCACCGCCAACTTTTGGGCTACTCTTTTACCAACGAATAGTGGGATTGACCGTCACATTATTACGCCCCCACAGCTGAAAGAGTGGGCACGTTTGGTGGGACGAAGATTCGAACCCGCGACCCTCAGATTGCGAGTCGAGCGCCCTAACTATCTGGCCTTGCCATGGGTACTTTATAAGAGTGATAATTAAATCCCATTTTTCAATCACAGGGGGCGTAAGTGACAAGAGCTTTTTTGATAGAATACTCTCATCCATATCCTAGCTACAGAAACTGCCCCCACCTCCTCTCACTCTTGAAAACAAAGTTATGCTACATAGCCCAAGCGTTGGCTGTGTCGATTAGCTGTCTTCTATCTTGTCCATCACTTAAAATTAGGGACGGCTAGTGCACATAGCACACAAACAATAACAGCAACAGTTAACTGTGTCCCTAAACACTAAAGTACGTGTTGTAATTTACATTAACTCATTAAAATCACTGAGCTCATAAGTATGATAAAAAGCATACGTGCAAGTCAATTAGTTCAATTAATATGAGAACACGCGTGTAAGTCATTTGAGATAATTATTATGAAAGAATAAATAAAACAAATCAAACACACCTGTAAGTAAATTGTAATAAATGTAATAAAAACAATGATACCGTCATTGTTAACGAATTACGGTATTACAATAAGAACGCCAAACCCTAAACAAGCTTCAAAACAACAACAACCTTATTAAGCGCGGAAAGCTTCCTTTAATTACACTTTCATACACAGGATCCGGTTCTGTTTCGCTTTATCAGCGCTGGAGATCAGTGTCGCAAGTCAGAGTTGTTTATCGCCACCTGGTGTTAGGATGCGGATACACTTTCGGCTCTCTAAAGTAACGAGAAGCACAGTCTTTTTGTAATTTTTCAGTTCCTGTAGATGCTAATGTTCTAAATCTGTATAGAAAATCCATTGATAAGATCTGAAAGTCTCCCCCCTTCTTCTAATGAGGGTTGTGTGGAAATCAACAATGTGACTGTATATAAATGTGGATATTAACTGATAAAACATCACCGATACAAATAATGAAAAAATAAATAAAATCGGTGTTTACCACGTAAACACCGGAAATGGTTATTTAGTTTACACTAATGTTCCCACTTTCCTGAGTCCTTGCGAGATTTAGCTCTTTCCGTAAGGACTAAATTGCCCTGGAATATTGCCCTGGAATAAAAAAAAGGAACACGTTTCGTTCGTTATTGGCAGGTTTGTTTTTATAATTTCCTTTAAGAAATTAGCTGCTCTTACAAAGCTTTAACATAAATAGAACTATGTTTTGTACCTATTGTTACTCCCATAAGAGAAAATAACGTGCAGAGTATATTAGAAAACTCTAAAAAAAACCCACATATTTTAAGGTATTTATATAATAATAAAAATAAAAACCCCGACAAAACACCGATTTGGTGATACCTAAATAAAAATATAAATAGCTAAAAAGAAATATAGAATTTTTTAGAAAAATAAAAACCAAAAAACAGAAGCCATAGATACATATAAATATGACCCCAGTGGTTCAGCGGTAAGCTTGATGACTTGTAAAACTGAAATTCGGAGTTAGATCCCTGCGATGGACGTAGCGCAGGTAACGAAATATGCAGCTATACGATTAAAATAAACAATACAAACAAATATACATATATATATAATGCGATAACATAAAATAAATCGGTGACACATCTTGAACAAATGCATATAATTATACAAGGGCATATAAAAACAACTAAGCCTATATTAGCAAGTATAGCAGATTATGCGTGTTATTTATATGTTACAGATATCATTCTGGAAACGTATTTGTAGATTGAGACCAATAAATTACATCTGTATTATTTAAAGGACTAACTAGGAAAATAAACATCAACGTACCTGTTCCTAGAACTGTAAACAAAGGGTCCTGTAAAATATATCAAAAATCAACAGAACTCAGCTGGTATGACTTGTATATATATATATATACTGTTAAAAGGATAAACATTTCAAGATTATTGGTTCATCAATAATTACAAGTCAACAGAACTCAGCTGGCATGGCTTGTTATATATATATATACTGTTAAAAGGGTAAACATTTCAAGATTATTGGTTCATTAAGACGGAATTATACGAATTATTTATTAATATGTTGGATATTTATCACAAGACACAAGATCATTGAACACTTCTTGCGACTGTTTTGTTGGCAAGTAATAAACTCAACAATTATCCCAGCACTTTTGTGACTTCTAACTTTGTATAATTCACGCTGTGGAAGCGATTATTTCATCACTTTTGTGACTTCTTTTTATAATTCAGGCTCTAAAAATGATTATCCCAGCACTTTTGTGACTTCTAAGTTTTCGTCATGATATATATATATTTATTGGTTTTTATTTAGTTTTATTTCACGTGGAGATTTGGAAGTGTTGTATTCCATTTTAGTTCGAAAACAGAGGTCACTCAAAGTAAGTTTGAATATAAACGTATTGGTGATGGAAAAACAACAACAAGATCCTAAACGGCACTGAAATTGTATTTACCTATCATACGACGTCATCAGGAAACGTGGGAGTGAGAGTTTGATTCCAAAGCACATTCACCGGTTACAAAAATTATTACAACTGCTCAATGATAACAGTTGAGGAACAATCATATTCAACATTACATGGTGCTCGTCATTAAAGATATGCTCCGTTCTGCTGTTAATCATGTCGAGGTCTGTTGTTGAAATGGACGGACGACATATTGAACGTTTGATGTGACTTCCATTGATATTATGAAGATAAAATACAATTTGTTGTGTTTCGAAGGTAACATTGCAGAGTCAGTTTTAGTTCCTATAAAAAAAAACGTACTTTGTTTGTTTGTTTGTTTTTTGAATTTCGCGCAAAGCTACACGAGGGCTATCTGCGCTAGTCGTCCCTAATTTAGTAGTGTAAGACTAGAGGGAAGGCAGCTAGTCATCACCACCCACCGCCAACTCTTGGGCTACTCTTTTACCAACGAATAGTGGGATTCACCGTCACATTATAATGCCTAACGGCTGAAAGGGCGAGAATGTTTGGTGGGACTGGGATTCGAACCCGCCACCCGCAGACTGCGAGTCGAGCTCCTTAACCACCTGGCCATGCCGGGCACGTACTTTGTACTTGCCCTGTCTGTGCATTACCGAAGTTCTGGAATTCCAATCTAATTTTTAAACTATAGTTATGTTTAATTCTAGTATATTATCTTTCAACTTCCATTTATATTTTGATATACTATTTATTTCCTTTCAACTTGCATTTAGATCTTGACATCCTATTATTTTTAGACCTGCATTTATATCTTGATATGCTACTTTTCATGTAGCCTTGTACTTTAGATTTTTTGTTTTTAGATTTCCTTTTGGCTACATATCAATTCACTATGAAGTTGAGTTTTATACGAAATCAAAAGTGGAGAGACACCTTAGTCGCATCAATTTTTAGTTATTTATTTATATATTTATTAGAAAGGGGCAATGAAAGCTCATACAATATTGTTATCGAAAATCGTCCGAAGAAGAGAAAATTAAAGAAAGGCGTTTTCCATGATAAACTATATCTTTTATTCAATCACCCAATTACTCACAGCAACTCAAGTAAACAAATCATCTTTCCGTTAACTACAGAAGTGTATTTCATCGAGTGCAAACAATTTCCATACAGAAGGACGTAGCATAATTTTCAGAACGTAATTCCAACACTCTTTCAGTGACATGGTTGATCAGAAACGGTTCTAGACAAAATTATGGCCTGTACGAGCTTTGTATTCGGTACCCCTGCTCCCTGTAAAACTGACGAGAACTCTTAATAGCAATGTCGATTTTGGCGCTCCTTGGGGGTGGGCGTCATGTGCGGAGGCGCACGTCACCCACACCGAGGACCGGCCCTGTTGGTTGATAAATATTTCACACTATAATTACTTTGTTCAACTGACAGTTTTGACACCAGAGATTACTATTTAACCCATAGTAAAAACAAAATATTCAGAATGATATCGTTAAAACGTCTAATGTTGAATAAGTTACACTCTAGCTGCAATAACAACAGTGATACATTCGACTCTTACGAAGAAGCGCTATGAAAAAAAAATCACTAACTTTAATTTTCCGGCCACACTAAATACCTCCTGTAGATGCCCATGACTTAGTTATCAAACATTTTGTCAAGACCTGAACATGTGTTATTATCATGTCCAAAATTGTCAGGCTGTTTAGTATGACTAATGTTTTCTAATAAAGATATCTTTATTTGTGTGGAATGTTCAGATAAAACTGATTCACCGACAAGTAATCCCACTAATAACAGCAAATTCGATCAAGAAATAATGGGAGTCTTCCGTGTTTGACAACTTGACTTAGTTTCTTTATGCGTGAAATAACGAGACTGGGCAAATACAAATAAGTGAACAAACTATTTGTTATGACAAACAAACAAAGCATAGTGTACAGAGGGAATTGCACTCAATTCTATTCGAGTGTGCTTTGAGCTCCACAGTTTTCTTTCTCTCAGGTTAGACTTCCGTCGAAGTAAACACGATTATCTTAAAGTAAGTCGTTATTCAACGATCTCCTAGTGTAATTGGCTCAAGAAAGCACGCCTGAATTCAACAGGTAAATTCGCTTTCTTTGTCTACTCAACAGCATCACCTAATGACCTTTGTTCTCTCACATCATTCGTCGGCTGTTATATTTAGCCAACGTCAACACGGTCAGCAAAGGATATTACAGTGTCTACCCTTTCAGACTTGGTGGTATATGTTACTGCAATATTCTCTTGGAAGGAATATAAATTACTTACTACAGAGAATAAATAAACAAAACAATTAGAACAAATAATCTCAACGGCTCACTGGACCACGTGTTTATGCTAAAACTGTATATATATACCAAATAAAGGAATTTTTTAAACAGTTTTATATCATTAAAGCAGATAGAAATAATATATTATGTCTACATATCACGTTTGCATCTTATGCTCCTTGGGCCTTTCCGGGTTTGGTGAGATTCACGGGCTACAGAAGATGTAGCATACAAAAAAACTTGCGAGTGTTTCCTGCCCCGGGTGCGTCTAGACGGTTTACAGACGCCACCGGAGGTATCGCATGACCCGTATTTTCACTGATTTCTTAGCGTATTTTGTATTAAATTATTAACTCGTGTCGATGTGTTAGCCGTATTCTCAGGCGGCCACCGACATTCGTCGGATGGTCACGGGAACTCATGGGCAGTTATCAGTAGAAAGCTAATTTTCTATTAGTGTTTTCTAAAGTACACAATTCATCTCTGAGTTCTCAAACTATAAAATCTTTAAATTAGCCGACCCAATCATATATAATGTTAGTTATGTTCTGTAGATTACTTTAATCAAGCTTTAACTATTCCAGTTTCTATATTATTTAACCAACATGTCTTTAAAACAATCTTTACTGTGTTAATTGACCTAATCTTATCCACTAAATGAATATTTTAAAAAATGTAGCTAACCAAATATTAATGTTTCTGTCATAATTCCTTATCTTACCTCTCCACAAAAATTGGCCACATTCACATCCTTGAAATGATAGTTATAATGATGAGAGAAGTTTTGAGCGTTAATCACGTGCGAGATAGAATGAAGGACTAAAAATAAACACAACAGAATAAAAGTTAATATTCTGCCCTCTGCATACCAAAATGGAGATATGCGTGATTAAAAACAGTAGACATGTTTCTATAAACAATAATTAATCCGTATATTGTGAAGATATTTATACAACAGGTTGGGGAAATTATATTAAAAAGATTTTGGAGCCTCACCACATCGTTACAGTTCATTTTGTCACATCTGGTCGGCAATAAGTCTGCGTAATTATAATGCTAAAAATTGGGTTTCGATACACATGGTTGGCAGAGCACAGGTAGCTCATTGTGTAATTTTGTGTTTAACTAACAACCAAAGAAGCGTCATTTCAGGTCATGTTGCCACATGCAATCATGCTCTATTTGACAATAGCCCTGTAGTTAGTTTCCACAGTAAACGGATTTGTCATAAGGCTGTATGTTCCAAGCACATTCATTCTCCTTAATTGCTTTCAATAAGCCATCTAGTGTACGAGGAACACGGTTTCCCAGTGCCCATTTCAACATTCTTCTCGTACAAAAGTTTATAGGCACTGCATCCGGCAAAATGACCTGAATGTCTTCGTGTGGAATAGCATGAATACCGATTTCATTCTAAAGCTATTTGAGATATGTGACCAGAGGCGTCGATAGGTGCTTAAAAGATTCGGGGCTCTGGCCCATAGCCCCCCCCCCAGATAATGGTTTGCTATTCTGATTTTTCAAGACACCAAATGGGGGACTGTCAAATAGAAATTGGGCACGATTCCCGTGTGTCAGTGCCTAGCGACGCCTCTGTATAGGACAATTAAACTGAAAAATCATGGAAGCAACTTGTGTACACATGACTTGCGCCACTTTTTCACATGGAGATTCTTGTTTATTATATTGCTCAATGTTGTTGCCTGGGGAAAATGATTATTAATTCTCTTGATACATTTGTTAACCAAAACGCTGTAATATAAAATGGTGTAAAAAACTGAGAAACTCGTTTGTTGATTACTACAGAGGGTTGAGTATGTTATATTAAAACGATTTTCAATGGGCAAGTCAGCAAATCACGAGACAATCACAGCGTTATAATGTCACGGTGGAACGGGATGTATCAGAACTACATCTTGATATTGTTTGGCATTTTGCAGGCCGCGTGATTCTACCAAAAACTGGTCACTTATTGGAAGGGCATGTAATAGCCCTTTCCAATGCAAAACATTTAAACACTCAGGTTATAAAAATGTATTAATATATGTATTAATACCCTGTAGTTAATAGTACTCGAAAACAAAGGAATATGGATCCACTTGGGGACCAGGACTATCCAGGAAGAGTTCTGCAACAAGTCAAATTCCAGTCGTGGTAAGCAAAGTGCGGCGTATTTTAACAGGTGAGAATCTCCGAACACAAATGTCAGTGGCAAAAGTCGTTCACATGCCACAGTCAACAGTACGCACGCAACATAATCAAGAAGGATATCCGTCTGGAAAAGCGACACAAGTTACGTGTACACAAGTGATCCCAAGATAAATTTGTTCAACTATGGCATTTCTCAAGCGACTGGAGAAGGAAACGGGTATTCATGCTATTCCACTTACAGAGACTATGGATTTCTATGTGATCGGACATTTGAAATTGGCAACCTCGTACATTAAATGGCTTATGGAAACCACACAGGGTGGAATAGTATGCTTTAGGCATTACAGTCTTACAATGAAACCTTTTGTAATGAAAACTACTGCAGGATTATTGTCAGGAACCACGGTTGTCATATAGAGCAGGACTGGACGTTGCGACTTGAACTAATGACGTTGTGAGGCTCTAAGGTCGTTTCAATGACGCACTCAAC